CCACCTGCACCCTACCCTGTGCTCAGGCTACTGACAAGAGCATAATGTTCACACTTTCTGCATTCTCTACCTTCCCTGAGCTAGTGATAAATTTGCATCCCTGAAATCACTCGGGGCTCGGCCTCCCTGCAGATGCTTCCATAGTTCCGTTTTCTGTGTTATGTTTTTGGATTTGTTTTGTACGCTGCCGCACTTTTGATCTGGTAGTGGCTTGCCCGGGAGTCCCTTTAAAGCACACTCACAGGGCTGAGGGGGTGGCTCAGTGGGCGGAGCATGTACCCAGCACACAGGAGTTCTGTCCCCAGTGCGGTGGTAAATACCTGTGATTCTAGCACTTGGGTGAGAGGAGGAGGGTTGGAAGTTCAAGGCCACATAAGAAAGTTGGAGGCCAGCCTGGGCTGTAAATCTGCTCACACAACAAGAGCAACAAACCAACCCTGCAGCGTTCTCCTCATGCTTTGACCCTAACTTCTCCTGACGCCTTCCTTCGTCCTGGGCGTAAAGAAGCCCACAGAGACAGAAGTGTTCTGTCTCGAGTATCGAAAGGCATAGTGGAATCAAAGTGACCTTCCCTGTGTGTCATTACCTAACTTCCTGCGCTTGATGGACGAGAAATCAGTGTGATTCCACAGGAAGACCCACACACTGACTCCCCAGAACCCAAGATCTGACAATCTCACTGGGTCCCGTGACCCGTCTGGTGGTGCCGCTTGGCCACGCCCCCTATTTAGAGTCCACACAGTGCAGGGAGTCACACCCTTGAGTGAGTGACTCATTTAGTTTCCTTTTCTAAACCAGGTAAGACTCTGGGGGTCAGTGTGCTGGATGCTACTCCTTGGGTTTCTCCAGGACCCTCCTCCTAAAAGAACCTAAGATGCCTTAAGCGTGTGCAGTTTAGACATCTGCATCTCCCAACCCCCCCTTCCTGGTAACTCTGGCTGTGTGCACAGTCCCACGCATGCTCCCTATGACCTCCTCTTTGCCCATCATGTTGACATCCGGCCTTTGAAAACCACCCCACTCCCATAGATAGGCGGGTCTCCCCCATTGTCTCTGGTCTCCCACGCAGAGGCCTTTGTCCTGTGAAGTCATATGGCACTGTGGGGAGTCCTCAGCTCCCCCAGAGAACCAGGTGGTCCTGGGGACTTGGGAGCCTAGTGTAAAATTTATCTGATGGCCTCATGTTGGGTAGAATGCAGGGACAGACAGGACCAGAGGGGTCTGTCTCGGAGAGGAGCAGGCCAGGTTTCTGTCTAGATGCACGTTTCCCTCCTGCAGTGAGACCACCTCTAGGAATAGGCCCAGGTCCTCACCTCAACCTTAGCTGCTGAGCAGAGATTGGAAAAATCCTAGTGTGGTTTCCCCCAGGGAAACCCAGCCAGTCGAGGGGGTGGGGGTCGGGGGTAAGACCTGCTCTGTCAATCCTGGCTTTAACAGGCATCTCCTGGATCTAGGCTTGATTGAAAATTGAAAAGCCGCGCCTACCCATGTTAATATTCAGGCCCCGGAAAGTTATTTTCGCAACAGAGATGTTGTGCCCTCCAAATGTGCCTTTGCCCCACCACGGGCTGATAGGGAGCTGCTCTCCAAATGTCTGGGTTTCTGACCTTGCCGGGGACAGTCTTGAGGTGGAGGGAGCCCCAGGAGACTCCCCACCTCTAAGTTTGTTTGCCTTGGCCTCAAGCTCCTCAGCGATAGAGGACACCCTTGACATTTCAGGGAGGTCACGTTCTGGAAGGCGGAAGCCATGTCAGAAAGGCAGCAGGCAGGATGAGGCTTCACGTCCCGTGGCCCCCATCACACCTCAGAGCATCCTGTTGTCTCCGTAGCTCCCACAGGAAAAGACACTTCACAGCCTGCACCGTTCACCCTCCGAGAGTCTCCTTAAACTGTTCATGTCACCTGTGCCCTGACAATCGCTGGCAGTCCCGAGCCAGCTTGAATCTCTGCTGTCTTCTAAAGGACAGCCCACTCTTTTTAATGTTCTGGTCCCGAGTCGCCTTACAGATCTTGTTATATGGGGCTCACAGAGGTGATATGTTGATATACGGAAGGCGTTTGTACCAAGCTGTTTCTTATTCTGTTCAAGAGCGATCGATCGTGGTCCTCAAACATGCTTTGTATCCTGGGGCGGGAGAGTGGAATGATATATGTGACTATAGGGTATATTTTCCTAACTGTTCTTCTGGGTCCCGCCTGGGATGTTTGCGACAATGGTCGGGAAGGACTCGCAAGATGCACGTCCTGTCTGTGGCATTCTGACAGCTGCCTTACTGAGCCACAAGCTGCAAGACTTCTGGAATGACGGCGGCGGCGGCGGCGGCGGCGGGCAGGGTGCTGCGGCCAGTCCCAGGAAGGACCTAACTGCGTGACTGAGAATTCATCTATAAAAACCTATATTTTTACTGTCAAAACAAATGGGGCTTCCCGGACTCCGCAGTGGCCGGATGTCCCCTCCCCCCCCAAGCTTTTATATTTTGTCACCGTAGGAGGTTTTCTGGCACAGACAAGCAGTCAGGAATCCAGCTGACCGCACCAAATGGGGTGAACTCTGCATGTGCAAACGGGGCACACCCAGACTCCAAAAATAGTAAATAAAGCCCTCACAGCGGTTGTGCTGTCCTCGAGTGAACGATGGGGGGGTGGGGGG